TTAATGAATGTCACTTAGCATCTGACTGTAGTTGGTCTCACTGTCCAAATTATATTCTGCGATCGGCCAGTGCCCTCACGACTTGACGACTTGAAACCAAAGGATTTGTATATTGCCAAAAACGTTTCATTCTCTGAGAAGCAGGGGCACAGATTGCACTTAAACGATTTCACTAATTGGAAAGTATGCCAATAGGTTAGGTTAGGTTGGATTGGTTAGGGAGTAAATCCTCACCGCACATAGGCCAATATCGGCTAGTTAGGTGTTAAAAAATTCACCTGGGTAACAAACCATTTTGGTGGCGCTGTGAACTTTGCCAAATCTCTGTTTTGCACCTGTTGCATCTATGCAAGGACTTGAAAGAAGGTATGTTTAAGCCTCTTCTACTTAAAGGCGGGCGAGCGCATAAAGGTGTTGTACATTTCCTTCTTTTTCTATGATCTTGCAATTATGACAACAAGAATCGCCTAAATGAAAGAAATCTGATCATAAATATAACTTTTTAGGATAGCTCTCAATCCCTGCGCAACCTATCGGAAGAGAAACACACTAATCCTTCTAAAAAACTTTGCATAAAATAACAATCATACAATGCGATTTAAAAATCTGGGAGAAAATGGTTCCCAATTGAATAATTCATGCCATTTTATATGTATAAAATGACATTACCTTATAATAAGCGGTTCCAGAGATAGGCGATATAAGGATTTCAGTTGGTATGGGTGGTGCAATGCCCCCTTTTCCAAAACCTCCTGGTTTTCGCCATAAGTGCGGTATTGATAATATATGTAGCTGTGTCAAATTTCGGGACATTAGCATATGAAGTTCCAGAGATAAGCGATATGAGAATTTCAGTTGGTACGGGTGGTGCCACGCCCCCTTTTCCAATGCTTACCATTTTTCGCCAGTTTAATTTGATTTAGAGATATATCAGTTCAAAATTTTCTTGTGGCATATTTATGTATAGATTCCGGACCATCTTCCATCCCAAGTCTCCCTAAGAAATTAAGAGCTCGTATAAAGAAGTTTTCTACTATTTAAACTTCAGAGCAAGGTAATCCTGGAGGTTTCCTGGAGGACGCAGGCGTTCATTAGTTACTTGGGTGATCTCCAGCCGGTAGCACGCCGCGCGAACGCGGACCGCCGTGGCGTTATGCACTTTTAAAGCTAAATACTATGACTGTTAGGAGTGCCAATATTTTTTGATAGAGCAACAATGTCCATGGATATTACTGCGCTTTCGAAAATGTAATACTATTGTCTATGGGCGATAAGAAATAGTGTTTCGGTTGCGTTTTTGTATTATTATTATTATAAGTTGCGATCCCGTACGAGTCCGGACTAGTCAGAAATAGTCAGAATCTGTCAGATTTTACTGGAAATCGATCCCGTACTCGGTTCTCTGACTATTGAGAGGACAAAAAAGAGAGTAAATACGGTTCTCTCTCTGTCAGAAGTTACCAGTTTTAGTCCGAGAATTTTTTGCTGGTAAATTCTGGTAAATGCGTCAAACGATCAGCTGTAGTGTGTTTGGCAACCAAATTGTAAACAAAAGAAAAGTGCACTCTGCTAATTCATGTTGAAAAGTATTTAATTACTTGTTTAAGTGGATTCTAATGAATTTGAAAGTGTTTTTGGTTATTTAGATGTGTGAGCTGAGTGTGTTTACATACAAAATAAGCAAAAATTTACAACCAAAATTTGGAGGTTATGTTGAAGTTGACAGAAGTTACCATTTTTTACTAGAAAGCGATCCCGTACTTTTCAATGTTACTCTCTCGCTCTGAGTGAATTTTTATTTTTTGACAGTTTTACTAGTCCGAGTCCGAGGAATACGGGATTGCACCTATATTGTATATTAATGTCAATGGCATTAATTCATTTTCAATTTTGTAATAATGCCAGTGACACTAATTCCATTTACAATCAAATAAAATAGCAATATAATTTTAACTTTTATTTTTGACTGAAAAAATAAAAGTTATGTTTTAATATATACCGAAAAAATTTCAAATTTTAACTTTTATATTTAAATAAAAAAATAAATAAGTCTAATTTTAGCTTTTAACTTATCTTTCTTTCGCTTTTGTTTGGTTAATGTTTATTCTTTTTTATAAAAGTATAGCTAGAAAAAATGTAATGCGCAATTAGGAAAGTTCAACAAAGCTTCGACAAAATTTCAAACTCTTTTATCACAATATAGTGCAAGTTTAAAAAAAATAATAATAATTCTAACCTAAAAATTTTCTTAACATTCCGAGTTAAAGTTCGAAGGTTTGGTAAACATTTTTTGAATTTTTATAATTCTTGCACAAAGTTTGAAATTTTAAATTAGATGGATTTTGTTAGATACTGAGCTATACTTATATAAAATAATAAACAAACAAAAGACAAATAGTACATAGCACTCCTACTATTATTACTACTCTTTCGCTGTATTTAAATTATAATAAAAATAGTGTGTGGTTTTGGTATGTATGTATAATTCGCTTTATTTAATTTTTGACACTTTTAAACGTTTAATTTATTTATTCGTTTGCAATATTCGATATATTGTATGTCTGTATGTATCTACGTATATTCGCATTTACTTCCAGTGATTCGTTTATATTATTGACTTTTTTGTAATTTTCCTTCAATACAGTAGTAAAATGACGAGACTTTTTATTGATTAACATTCACAATACAATTGGTTTTGCATGCAAAAAAAAAATCGCTACGATTACTTAGACTACGCGTAAATATTTATATACTACTCAATGAGAGATATTCTTCTTTGCTATTTAATTTAATTTATTTGCTTTGTATTGTGGTATTTTCGATTCAAGTATTTATTAAATACTTATTAATATAATTTAATATAACTTATTGCCCTTTCGTAATAAAACGAAAAACAAGAAGGCAGTGATAAGATGGGGGCCGCTAAACAATGACTAATAAATAATTATTTAGTAAACAAATATGGTTGATGAGGATGGAGGTTAAGAGGTGAAGAATAATTAAAAGGGGTAGTGAGTGAGATGAGTCAATGTATGGGCATTCAAAAATATGAACAAAATAGGGATATGATTTTTGGAGAAAGGTGAGTTCATTCAATATATTCAACGTTGGGTACTTTAGTAAAATCTTAAAAATGCTATTAAAGACAAAAATTGCGCACACACTTTTGTGTTTATTACAAATGCAGTTATTGGGGGTATTCACATAAATGCTTGCTTGCATAGTAAACTTAAAAATCATAAAAATGCATATTGCGGCAGCTTTGAATATTGATGTAAGTTTAAATGAAAAAAATTTAACCACAGCTTCTTTTTAAAAATCTTACTGCTGCTTAAGTTCAGTGAATGTTTTTGCATTCAAAAGAGAGTGGCAATTTCTTTAAGAAATCCTACAAAATAAAACGATTTTTTGAGCCATACATATGTAGCTTTTTACTTTACCTGTTAAATATATTTTTTGGCTTGAGATTTTTTTTCTTAACTACGCAATTAATCCATTTCGTGAATACCCTTAATGCCTTTACATAATCCTTATAATATCATTTAATACTACCTACGCATACAAACGTTTTAAAATAGTTTATCATTTCGATCGTAAATATGTACGTCATACACTACTAAACAACCAAAAAAAATTTTTCACAAATTTTCGTTTTACAAAAATAAAATATACACAATAAATTCGCATAACTGAAATTTTTTCAAACACAGCTTTAATTGTAGATGTGTATATGTGTGTGTGTATGTTTGTCCTTATGTATAAGTAAAAGCAAATGCAAATGAATATAACATAATGCAATGAAGTATGTATGTGCAAATAATTTAACATTATCGATGAGACGGTAACAACAGTGATTTTATTTTTGGTATTTATTTGTTTGACATTTGCTTCATGCAGTACCATCGCTATTATTTACTTAAAACTTATTAAAAAGTATGTATGTATGTATGTACGAAATTATTTATGCTATGTAATGTACTTATCGGTGTCTATGTGTTTCTTTGTATTTGCAAGTTTTGTGAGTTTTAACAAAATTTAATCGTTCTTATATACATTAAATAATTACAAAAAAAAATAGATAATATTTTAACAGTCTGTCACTTAAATTATTCAACAAATTCTACAAGAATTCAAAATACAATACATATTCAGCCTTAACGCCAATTCCAAGTGAGTAAATCCTTCCCTTAACTTAACAGGCAAAACGTAAAACGAATTGGAAAAAAACTCGTTGTGTTTTGCTTTAAAATTTTTGCGAATATTATTTGTTCACATGGAACTCGCGATAACTCCGATTTTACAATATCTATTTCTAATCGTGTATGTGTTAGTAAATATTAGATAAACACACTAATCTATCGTTTACGTAAGTATTCCGTTTTTTACTCGTAGAGCGCAGAAAACAAATTTGCGTAATTAAAATTCGCAGTCACAACTTTATTTGTCGAGGAACCCATAAATCGTCGTCGCTTTTCTAAAAATTTCGTATATTAGTTCTAAACTCTCCTTCACTTTTTACTGCGTACGAAGGGACGTTCTGTGTTTGATTTTTTTTTTTTGCCAAGCTAACATGAAAATTATTGTGGCCTACAATGGGCCTTTTCTTTAGCGTTTCCACTTTTTTCTTGCCGTTCATTCGTTTGTTTCCTTTAGATAACAGGCGATGGTGATAATGTCGAGCGTGTCGCTCTGGTTGGCGATTTAGTCGAAACGCCATTGGCTCCTGTATTATTGGCGATGGCACCGTTTGCATGCAGACGGAAGAGTTCACCAACAGTTATGGCTACCTGGACAGCACCTTTGCCTTCCAAGACGTCAGCAGCACAGCAAATGAGGTTCTGAAAGGAGAATGAGAAAGAGAAATCTAAATAAATAACAATCCT